GCCTGGGGGGCACAGGGAAATAGGAGAAACTCTGCAGGAGTTGGAGAGGGCGGGCATCATAAAGCCCACTCATAGTCCTTTTAATTCTCCAGTGTGGCCAGTGAGAAAGCCAGATGGCTCCTGATGTATGACTGTGGACCACAGGGAATTGAATAAAATCACACCTCCTTTGCATGCTGCTGTCCCCTCTATAGAAGATATTCTGGACACCCTCAGCCATGAACTGGGAACGTATCATTATGTTGTAGACCTTGCTAATGCTTTCTTCTCTATTGTTCTCTATTGACATAGCACAGGAAAGCCAGGAACAGTTTGCCTTCACGTGGGAAGGCTGGCAGTGGACATTCACTGTCCTTCCACAGGGATACCTCCACAGTCCCACCATCTGTCATGGACTTGTAGCCCAGGACTTTTCCACATGGAAGAAACTGCAAACAGTGCAGTTGTCTGATTCTCTTTCAGATTTAGAAGGGGCAGTTCCTAGACTGTTGCAACATCTATAGGAAAAAGAATGGGCTGTGAACAGCACCAAGGTTCAGGGACCTGGTTTGTCTGTGAAATTCTTGAGAGTTGTCTGGTTGGGTAAAAGGAAAGCTGTTCCTGAAGCAGTTATAGACAAGGTCCAAGCTTTCCCCATCCCTACCATTGTGGCAGTATTACAAGAGTTTTTGGGTCTTTTGGGCTACTGGAGAGTGTTTATCCTGCACTTGGCACAAATTCTGAAGCCCTTATACTGGTTGGTACAAAAGGGCATCAGGTGGGACTGGGATGAGACATGTGCAGCTGTTTTTATTGTTGCTAAGACAGCAGTCAAGGCCATGCAGGCCTTGAGTGTAATGGACTCATCAAGGCCCTGTGAACTAGATGTTCATGTAACCGAAGATGGTTATGGATGGGGCCTTTGGCAGTGGCTTAAATGGACACAGCAACCTATTGGATTCTGGTCACAACTATGAAAAAGAGCAGAGGTCTGGTACACCTTGATAGAGAAGCAACTGGCTGCTGTGTACCATACCTTGCTGGCTATGGAACACATTGCTGGAACAGCTGCGACTAAGGTAATAACCACCTATCCCATCGCAGGCTGGGTATAAGACTGGACCCAAAGGCCATGGAGTGGCATGACACAGACACCTACACTGACCAAATGGGGCACATATTTACAGCAGCACAGCGCCCTCTCTAATAGCCCCTTAAGTGGAGAACTCCAACGCTTATTGGGGCCAGTGACCTATGCCAGTGGAAAGCAGGAAGAACTTGCTTTTCAGCCCTTGGTAGCCGAGACTCCTTATCAGGAGGGAAAAGCCCCTATACCTGAAGCCCCTATACTCGGTACACAGATGGCTCCAGTCATGGGCAGCCCCCGAAGTGGAGAGCTGTGGCTTTCCATCCTAAGACTGAAACAATATGGATGGAGGATGGAGAAGGGAAGAGAAGTCAATGGGCTGAGTTGCAGGCAGTATGGCTCATGATCATCCAGGAGCCTTCCCCCATGTTGTCTACACTGACATCTGGGCCGTCTATCAGGGCTTGACCCCGTGGCTGCCGACATGGTGCCATGCCAATTGGATGGTTGATCACCGGCCCCTTTGGGGGCAAGAGTTGTGGCAAGACCTACAAGCCTCTGGTCAGACTAAGACTGTTACTATATGTCATGTGACTGGCCATTTGCCTTTGGCATCCCCAGGGAATGATGAAGCAGACACACTGGCCCAGGTGCGCTGGCTAGAAGGAAAGCCTGCCCCTGATGTGGCTCAGTGGCTACACCAGTATTTGTTGCACGCGGGGCAAAAGACAATGTGGGCTGTAGCTTATCAGTGCGGCTTGCCATTGACCTTTGATGAAGTCAGCAGTGCCTGAAAGGAGTGCCTTGTGTGCTCTAAGAGGGACTTACACCAAGTCCCACAGCAACATGGGACAATAGTCAGGTGGCAAATAGACTATATTGGGCCTCTGCCCATATCAGAAGGGTATCAATATGCCATGACTTGTGCTGACACAGCTACTGGACTATTGGTTGCTTTTTCTGCACATCGTGCAGATCAGCAGACCACCAAGAGGGGCCGGGAGCGTCTCTTTGCAGCCTGTGGCTGGCTGCAGGTGATTGAGAGCCATCAAGGCACCCACTTTACTGGACATGCATTACAAGAACGGGTGCAGCAATTAGGAATAAAGTGGAAATTTCATGTACCATATAATCCTACCAGGGCAGGCATGATAGAGAGGTACAACAGTTTGTTGAAATCTGGCCTGAAGTTGGACACCAATAGTTTATGGGGTTGGTCAGTTCACCTATGGACAGTGCTGTGGCATTTGAATGAGAAACCATGTAAAGGAGCTTTGAGCCCTGTGGATATGCTCACACATCTTGCTGCCTCTCCTGTACAATTGTACGTCCAAACCAAAGAGTTATTGAAGCCAGGATATGGCCAGCAGAACAACATCCTGCTGCCAGCCCCTACTGTATTAAGCCCTGGAGACACTGTTGAATGGACCTGGCCCTGGACATTTCAACACATGGACCAGTGATGGCTGGCCCTTCTGGCACCTTGGGGGAAAGGCCTGGAAGCTGGCCTCATGTGTATTCCTGGAATAACAGCTGAATGGCCCCCAAAAGTCACGGTAGTGTACCCAAAACTTCCAGGAGATAAGAGCATATTGCGGGAAAGCTTTGTTTTCTCTCTATGGCCAGTGCATGTATCTCCCATAGCCCCATATATTGACTCATCTGTAATTCCCACAGGGAGAGGGGTGAAAGTCTGGTATACTAGACCAGGACAAGATCCCGTTCCTGCCAGTTTTATCACAAGACCACTCCCTTGCATGTATCCTACCTGATGGAAAAGATTTGGCTATGCTGGTGTCATTACAACATGTATCTTATTGCCCTTAAGGCTATTTTCTCCTACAGTCCTGTAGCCTGAATGTGCCCCTGGCTGCAGCTGCCGCATGATGATTGCTCTGAACCCTCAGCTACTGCCTGCCTATGGAATGGATGAGCTATGGAGTTAACCTGCATAAGACTTTGAACCTTGCTGAATCCTCTGGCTTGAGGATTGTCATAATTGTATTGCTGTTGCTATTGTTATGTCATTAGTCTGGTGACAATGCTCCAGTTTTCTCACCCCGACAATTGCATAAGGGGAACGAGTAGATTGCAAGGCGATTTCTGGAGGAGTGGCCTGTGGGTAAAATTGTAAAATTTCCAGAATATCTCCCCTGGTTTTAGCGCATTTGCAAAGCCTCAGGCGAGGATAGAGGTTCATCTCTGTGTCAATGAGTACTTACCTGGGCAACCAAGGGCGCGTCTGAACCTGAGAGTTTAAGGGGTGGGGTTGGCTGGCTTGCTGGTTTGCTTCTTACGGAGCGGAGGAGAGAGAAGGCCTTGGATTGCAGTATGTAAGTAATAAACGGGCTTTAAGCTATTTCTCCCTGTGACTGAATTCAGTTTTTAGAGGTATTTTGCCCCAGGATTTCCTCTCCCCGGACTTACACGGAGCTTGGGGCATGTGGAGGCATTCTGGTTCTCCAATAAGGAAGTTCCCTCCTACTGAGAAGCAGGATCCAACTGAGCTGAACAGAGCAGAGAGAGAAAAGCTCTTCTAAAGTTTTTTCGTGAAAACTTCATTGCAGTTATTATTGATTAAATTATTGGCCATTGGCTGAATCAACCTCCAGCCCCATCTGGGGTCCAGTCTCTCATTAACATGACAAAGCACCCGGTTCATCTTTAAGACTGCAGTATTTTCAGGAACTGTGGATTAAGACTAAATGTACCTGGGAAATATATATATTTGCTCCTGTGAATGACCAAATACATGTATTTCTATAATTCATTATATCACAATGACCAAGTAGGATTTATCCTAAGACTACAAAGTTTCACACATAAACAAATGTTTAACATAAAATTCAATCAATATAATCATTTTTAGAGGACAAAGGGTACAAACCACATGGTCATATAGCAATATACAGAGAAAAAGTGTTTGGGAAAACATTCTTTTTGTAAAAACATTTTTAAAAAAACAGTAATAAAATGGCAATTTACTTGATAAAAGGCATCTTTGTAAAACGCACAGCCTACATCGTCCTTAATGGTGAAAGGCTGAAAGTTTTCTCTCCAGTATCAGGCAAAAAATAAAGATGTCTATTCTTGGCACTTCTATTCAACATTGTACTAAAGGCTCTAGACAGAGCAATTGGAAGGAAGGAGAGAAGGCAGAACAGGTTACAACTGCACACATCTCAGTTCATGTGATGACATGCACATAACACGGAAGCAAAACTTTTTAAAAGTGACACAGGAATGAAAGTTACCAGCTGAACTAGGTGAAGGCGGACTTGTGAGAGGGATGGATCCCAAGGGGTAGGAGGACATTTGAGGGTAGTGGATTAATGGAGTAACTCATTACCTAACTGTGGTGGTGGCTTCCTGGGTGTATAGATGAAAGCTTATCAAACAGCGCGCTTTAAATGTGTGGTTTGTCAGTAACACCGCAGCACGGAATACAGCCTGAACACACGAACGAACACACACACACACACACACACACATTTGCAGGGAGTTCCTGATAAATCCGTATTCTGGGGAAAAAAGTGCTTCTTAGGACTCGGAGGCAAAAGGCTCTGAAGCAGGGACCCCCTTAGATCGACCCAGGACTCCGGTCCAGTAGCGGGCGGGCGGCGAGCCGCTGTTGGGCCGTCCCAGTGCTTCAGGGCTGGGACGGAGCGGCCTGATACCCGACGTCTGCTCGTCTCCGGAAGCCAGGACTCGCCTTGGTGTGTCCCAGGTCTGCAGCATCGGGTCCGAAGGCGACCCGGCTAGCAGAGGTCACGGAGCATCCCTCGCTTCTCATCCTAACCGACCGCGCGGGAGAGCGCCAGGGTATCACTCCCAGCCGGGGAGGCGGCAGCTTCCGGCTTCCCAGTGTTTCCGGCGGAAGCACGTAGGACGGCTGCAGAGGCGAAGGGGCGGGTCGTCGCTCGCAGGCTCAGCGCAGAGTCAGACCCCTGGTTCGTAGCACGCTATTGGTTCCAAGTCCACCGTGTACCACCGACAGGCCAGGGCGGGCGGGCGGAGCGGAACCGGAGGACCTACGTTTTCTTCCAGGCCAAGGGCTCCGGCACCGCCTTTCTGCCCAGCGCGCAGGCGGACTCATGGATCCCTGCGGACGGTGGCGGAATCTGCCCAGCGGGCCTGGGCTGAAGCACTTGACCGACCCGTCTTACAGGATCCCGCGGGAGCAGCAGAAGCCAGCGCTGCAGGAGCTGACGCGGGCGCACGTCGAGTCCTTCAACTTCGCGGTGCGCGAGGGGCTCAGCCTCGCGGTTCAGGTGAGCGCGGCGTCTCGCCATGCTCCCTTCAGCTCTGCGCTCGCTGGCCGCTGCGAGGCGGAGGAGGGTCGCCTGGGAGAGGCGCCGGGAGTGGGAGGGCTCCCAGGAGGCGGTGGAGGGGGGCCTGGACGGAGTGCGCGCCGGCCGCGCGCGGGCGGGGGTCCCTGAGAGGCGGCAAGGAGGCTCAGTATACTCAGTCCGTGACCGCGCCAACTGAGCGCAGGGAATGGCCTCGTGGCATTTGCAGTCGTATCGACTCAGGGAAGGTGCATTTGTGATCTCTGCATTTATTGATGGTAAGCCGTATTGCTTTGTAGGACAGTTACTGAAATGTCCCATGCGAGGTGTGCTTCCCAAGTGTTCACAATGCACACGCTTCTAACACGTGAAGATTGAACCTCTCCAAAACTTGCTTCAAGGGTTCTGAACCTATTCGAACATTGACTTGTGTAAGGTCACCCTGCACAGGTTTCTTCTCTCAGAGCTTTAAAAGGAGAAACACGTTTCCTGAATTAAGAAAATGTAAATCAGGAGTAAGAGCGAGATTCAGTAGGAAAGTGTAATAGCATACTTAGGAAACATTTGCTCAACATTAAGTGATCGGGTCTAGAAGGTAATGGTAGCAGAGCTCAAGGGAAAGCCTCATCACATGTAGGGGTGTTCGCGTGTCTCTAAGGCACTAGGGGCTCAGTGTGCGGAAGTGGCAGCCCTGTGTAAGACAGTTTTGGCTGTTGAGTGCTTCCTATCATGTTTTGGGGTGGAGGTGTAGGAGACGTGAAAGCGGTCAGGGCCAATACTCAATACCCAGGAGAACTGTTCTGCCCAGGACTTGGGGACTGTAGGGTACTTGGGGAGTGCATAGGCGGTGCTGCGAATCCAGGTGTTTGAGAAAGGAGGGGGATTACGTGAATTGAAGGGAAGGGGAGAGTGGACTCCCTCGGGGTAGTGAAGGAACAGAGTTAAGGGGCTATACCTTACCCTGTGGGTTGGTGGGATGAGTTTTTTGTTGTGAGAGATAGGGATAGAAATGATGTAGGGAGTTTTGCCAGTCTCTGATACTTGAGCTCCGTTCTGCAAGTGTGTGGGAGCCATGGAGGTTTCTTTGGGGATTAAAAATCCTTCACCTTTTTGCAAAAGACAAGTGAACTAAGTATTGATGGGCAATAATTGTATCATGCCTGGACTCTTACTGTATCGTGTCTATAAGAAAAATTATATCTAATTAGAAGTTAATTGACACAGGGGTTTCTTTAAATAATGAAAAAGGAGTCCAAGATTGAGATGATCAAGGAAGGCTTGCTCTACAATAAAGGTGCACATGTACATGGAGTTTTTATGAAGGAATAATGTATAGACTAGCAGTTCTCAAACTTACTGTTCCTGGGGACCCCTTTCCACTTTTAAAACTCTTGAGGGATCCCAAAGAGCTTTTGTTTATCAATAATGAAGAGATGAATGGAATTTTTGCATCTCTTTTAAATGTCTGGATTATTAGAAGATAGCTGGATTCTCATATTTACTTTTGTATTCAATCTCTGAGTTCAGTGTGATTGGCAATATATGACTTGACAATATATATAAAATAAGGTATCCTTAAATAGAAATGCACATAAAACAAGGCTTTGTATTGATGATTTGATAAAATGTGACCAGAGACTCACAGGAACCTAACATTGTATTTCCCCTAAGAACAATGGTTCAGTGTTCACTAATTCAATGTTTGTGGTACCTTTATAAACCATAACCATGTAAAATTATGAGAATCAACTGTATTGAGATAGTGTTGTTGTGGCTTGAGAAAGCAAATCTTGTAATCTCTCTTTTTTTTAACTAATACACCATTTTTAAATAGGAAATATATTAAAATTTTTATTTTAGAATAAAAACAATTCTAAAACAATAACAGCTTTAGATAAAATTTAAAAATTTAGAAAAAGTCAGTTGAACTCACATGAGGGTAGATAACCTCATTTATAGTGCTGGCTCTTTTTGGCATTCTTATTGTTCTAACACTAAGGTGAGGGAGGAGATTGTTCATAATTGATATGCAGGAGAGCTCAGTGATGCCACTTCTTCAGAACAGCAAAGCTTCCACCAGGGAGTGGTGCAGAGGTGCAACTGCTACTGAATGGGAGGAACCACTGGGGCCACCACCTTCCCCATTGCATGGCTTTGCCTTCGGTAGGAAGCCACAGTGGAATGAAATGTGTACATCAGCCTAAAGAATGGCATTAGAGTGTCCAGTCCTAAATCAGGAGGATGTTACCATATCTTTGTCCTGTTAGCAGCAGTCCTGTTTGTCTTGTGCACACAGGGCTCCAGGTAAGAATAGAGAAGGCAGGCACTTGGTTCAGAGAACCTTCCTTCCTTTGCACACACCTGCACCCTAGAGTCTACTGCAGAATCTGACACATAGTAGAAACTAAAAAATCTTGAGTTAATGCCTTATGATTTGAGGGAATGAAGAGACTGGATGTAGCTTTAACCATCATTTTAGACATGTACCATTGGCATTATAGGCATCAGTGCTTACAAAACACAAAGAATTTGGAAGAATCTGAGAGGAAAAGTGCCTTGGAAATGCAAGCAGTTAATACTGTGAATTACCTTTCAGGCTATACCTCCCTTTGAATTTGTTTTCAAAGATGAACAGATCTCCCTTACTATTGTGGATGCTGTCATCAGTCCACCCACAGTTCCAAAAGGGACCATCTGCAAAGAGCTCAACATTTATCCAGCAGAATGCCGGGGCCGAAGGAGTACCTACAGGGGAAAGTTGACAGTGAGTACAAGTAATGGTGTGTGACTCTCACACAGGACATTTTTGAGAATAAAGCTGGTGCCTAATAAAGTTTATACCAAAATTTTACTTTTTTTTGAAATAGCTACCATCTAAGACAACCTGTCTTAAATCTAAAACACAGAATCATTTACTTTATGGTCTTCTTCCTTACTCTTAAAATAGTTACTTGTTCATGCAGATCTAGATATTCTTTTTTGTTAAGTAATTTTCTTCTCTCATTTTCATTTAGGCCGATATCAGCTGGGCAGTGAATGGAATCTCAAAAGGAATCATTAAACAGTTTCTTGGCTATGTTCCCATCATGGTGAAGTCTAAGCTTTGCAACTTACACAACCTTCCTCCAAAAGCCCTCATTGAGCACCATGAGGAACCCGAGGTAATTGCAGGGGTCCAGGGCACTGAAAGGCCAGGTAACAGCAGAAAAAGCTGGACCTGGGATTGAGGAGACATGGAGCTTGTGGGCTCACATGAGGAGTTGTCAGGGGGAATCAGTTTTTCTTTCTGTGTTTCAGTTTCTAAATAGGTAAAAGGGGGCAGTAATATCTTGTCCGCATATTGTGCAGGGTCAGAATGAGTCCCAAATTAGATAATGTATGAAAACGTGGCTATACAATTAGATAATATTGGTAAGATTTGGTAGATTTTTCCCTAATTTTCTAAATGATTCTTATTTAGAGGTGTATTTTTTTGTATAGCTGTCTTAACCCACAAAACTGTTGTCTAAAATGTTTACTGACAGTAGGATTCTGTGACATATTAAATGCTTCATATACCTTCCCTTCAGCATTGAGTTGAAGTAATCAAGACGTATTGTCTAATGTTATGTGGTGGGATGAAAGTTTTGGTGTCATATCTGGGTTTCAGACCCAGCTGCTTCCCTGATCACTTATGTGGCTTTGGGACCTTTAATGTCTGAGCCTGCGTTTCCTCTACTGAAAATGGGAATTACTGTCCCAGCCATTAGGAAGATTAAATAGCATGATAGGCCTGCCTCATAATAGGCAGTCATTTTATAGTAGTCCTTTATCACTGAAATGTAATATTGACAAAAAGCTATTAAAAATATTTTCCTCTTTAGCTAATCCGAATTTCTGGTCTCCAGAGCTGTCATACAGTGAAAAGTTTTTTTAGTTTATTTGGGAAATCATACTTCTGGAAGCAAAATGGGCACCATTTTCATCTGTAGACTTCGGAGAAATTTTTTTTTGTCATTTGAACACTGAAGTCATTTTAGGGGACAGAAAGGCAAATTAGCTTGAGCCTGAAGAGAAGGTACCCTAGTTTCCTTCCATACTTTTCTCTTAGGTCCCTAGAACCTTTTTAATATACTTGAGAAGACTGTTAATTCACACACTGACTATTTCCAAGGGAACTGTAGTCCCTTTGTGCCTGTGTTCACTTCTTCCACATGATGCGCTATGTCTGGCTAGAACTGAGGTTGATGTTTGCAAATAATTTCATGCTTACAGTTAGTTATATATCTTTACCAAATTATAATTCATCTCTGACAGGAAATGGGAGGCTATTTTATAATCAATGGCATTGAAAAAGTCATCCGAATGTTGATTATGCCTCGGAGAAATTTTCCCATTGCAATGATAAGACCAAAGTGGAAAAGCAGAGGGCCTGGATATACTCAGTATGGTGAGTTGTAGTGAGTTTGGAATGTTCTTTTAGAAGAGTTAAAGGCTATTTTTTAAAACAATAGATAATCTAGAGTCTTTGATATTTTTCTTCTATATATATATATACATTTTTGTTTTTTCTGTTAAACATTTCTGTGTTAAGTTTTCATCGTGGGAGCCTACATTCTGTTATGTACCATTTTTTTCCAACTGAAAGGACACATTAATTTATGTTACAGCTTATGAAGATGAAGGCTGGCCTGATTTCACCAGTGGTGGGTAGGCCTCAGGAATCTTCTGGTGCAGGTTACCATGACTCCCTTGAGATGCCTGGTTTCACAAGACCTCATTTTGTATTCTTGGGCAACCTCTACAATTAAATATTTTATTATAATTAAGCTAAAAATCAGTTTCTAGTTGTAGCCATACATATGCCTAGATTAATAATATCTCAGCAAGTCAGAATGTCTAGTCATTTATTCATTTGCATCTCTTGTTGCAGTATGTCTTAGCAGTCTCTGTCTAAAGTTGAAATAAACTTAAAATCTAAAATGCTACTTTTCTCCATTTGAACTCTCAGACCAAACTACTATCTCTTAACCAGACTCCACAGGGTGCCTGGGTTAAAGTACTACATGATCAGACACTGTAGGAGGGATAGAAAGTGATCTAAGACACTGACCCTGCTCTGGAAGGCAACTTGGAAGTTTTGTTAAATTCAGAGCGTCAGTTACTGTGAGTGCTTCCCAACCCGGGCAGATTTTGCACTCTGACACATTTGGCAAGGTCTAGAGCCATTTTTGGTTGCCAGTCTCGGCTAACCTTAGTGATTTGGGTTCTAATTATTCCTAAGAAAGTAAAAGCAATTCAGAAAAAAAAAATGAAGCAATTATAGTACTACTGAGTTTTTTACTTTATGCTCTTTTTGATAGGTGTTTCAATGCACTGTGTGAGGGAAGAACATTCCGCTGTCAATATGAACCTTCACTATTTGGAAAACGGCACAGTTATGTTAAACTTTATTTACAGGAAAGAACTGTTTTTTCTTCCTTTGGGATTTGTACTTAAGGTGAGACTTACTGAATGTATTTGTTATGAGGAGATTCATTGGAGGTCATATCCTCTACAGTGCATAGGTTCTCCTTATCAGTGTTCATGCTGTACTAGTTATCTGCTGCTCCATAACAGATTACTCCAAAATTCAGTGGCTTGAAACATCTGTAAACATATCACTGTCAGAGTTTCTGTGGCCAGGAATTGGGCAGTTCTGGCGTGGGGTCTCAGGAGGCTGCAGTGAGATGTCAGGAAGGCCCTAGTCCTTGAGGAGGCTTGACCAGAGCTAAAGGATCCATTTCTAAGATGGTTCAGTCATGCCTGGCCAGTCAGTGTGGGCTGTCCGCAGGCGGTCTTAGTTCCTCTCCATGTGGGCCCTCCCACAGGCCGCCTAAAGCAGCTGTCTTCCCCCAGGGAGTTAGCCAGGACAACAAGGTGGAAGCCATGGTGCCTTTTATGACCTGTCCTTGAGGCACATGGGCTTTTGCTTTGGGGAGATGCTGGTCAGCTCTGGTCAATGTGGGAGGAAACTGTACATACGAGGTTGTGAATACTAAGGAGGTGGAAGCCATCTTGCTGGCTGAGTACCAGACAAGCAGTGCTTTATCTGGGAGACTTCATTTTGATTCAGCAATAGTGGAGTGCTAATTTTTCTTGGGTATTAGAAAAATGGAGAATTGTTACTAAATGAGTAAAATGGCTTAGTTTTTATTACTGATTGTAAAGAAAACCTTTTTTCTATTCTAGGCACTTGTCAACTTCTCCGATTATCAGATTTTTCAGGAGCTCATCAAAGGCAAGGAGGATGACTCTTTCTTTCGGAACTCTGTTTCTCAGATGTTAAGGATTGTAATGGAAGAGGGTTGTTCCACACAAAAGCAGGTCCTTAACTATGTAGGGGAACGCTTCAGAGTAAAACTCAATCTTCCTGACTGGTATTCCAACAGACAGGCTGCAGAGTTTCTTTTTAAGTATGTGTGCTTTGCCTAAACTGATTTTTGGGGGTGGGAGTTGTCTGGTTCTTTGCATTGGTTGTAGTTAGGGCCGGTCATTATCTGGGAATCAGTGGACGCGGGGCTAGAATTCAGGTGTAGCAAAGTAGACTTTCTTTAACTTTGTTTCTGTGGCCGTCCTCACCTTACTTTTTATGGTAGTGTTACTTTACTTTTAAACTTTTATTTTAAAATAACTTCAAACTTCCAGAATTGCTGTAAAAATAGTACTTAGACACTTATATTCACTAGTTGTTAACATTTAAACTATATTTGTTTTATTATTTTCTCTGCATGTAAACATTTTTCTTTCTGCACCATTTGAAAATTGCATGTATCTTATCCCTTTTTTCCCCCAAGGCAAAGATTTTGCTTATGTAAATTTAATTACTATATATAATTATGTATATATAATTACCATATATATATTTAATACAAATATAATTACTAAAAGAGCCCAGTTCTAGACCAGTGCAGCCTATGTGTGGCCATAAGCCACATTTGAATGGCCAGTGCAAGTGAGAAACTGAATTTTATTGAATTTTAATTCACTTAAATTTAGATAGCCACACGTGGCTTGTCACTACCCTGTTGGCCAGCACAGCTGTATACCTTGTGATTGTATCCTGTTCTGCTAATGTTGCCAGTAGAAGTGAAGAGCAGTTTTTCAAAAAATGAGTGAGAACTTTTATGTAAACATGATTTGGGGACCTTGGTTAGTAGGACATCGGGTAGTATTAGCTTAATTGTTTCAAGCTTTTCCTTTCTATTTTGACAGCCAGTGCATCTGTATCCACTTAAAATCCGATACTGAAAAGTTTTACATCCTTTGTCTCATGACCCGGAAGCTCTTTGCTTTAGCCATAGGGGAGTGCATGGAGGACAATCCTGATAGTTTAGTGAATCAGGAAGTCCTTACGCCTGGTCAGCTATTCCTCATGTTTCTGAAGGTAAATGCATGCGGCTTTCACCCTGGGCCTGTTGTATATCTTGTGGAATCATGTGACAGTGTCTTGCAGTATTACTTTTTGCATGTTCATAATCCCTAGTTTGGGCATTTTACATAGTCTCTTTTTTCTATTTTTTGTTTGTTTATTTAACCTTTAAGTCCCAAGCTCAAATGTCTACTATTTTTATGTGGGCTAAGTAAAGACATACCAAATCTTGGTCATAACATTAATGATTACATGTAAATAAATGGCCTACATACATACATATAGTCAATCCTCATAGTCTCAGATTCTGTATTTAGGAATTCACCTACCAACCACTAAAATTTATCTGTAGCCCTGACGGCGTCACTATTTAATGCTGTCATGGCCATTGGTAGACATACACAGAGCTGTAAAAGATTGGTGACTCCTGATGCACACATTCCCAGCTAAGGTCTGACAAGGTGACGCTCCACTGTCTTGTTCAGCTGTCTTACTGTAAACAAGGGTCTGTTTAATTCAGTGCCATGTTTTTCACATTTTCTTGCTTTTTGTTGGTGATTTTGCTTTTAAAGTGGCCCCCAAACAGTGCTGATATCTCTCTGATGTTCCTAAGTGCAGGAGGTTGTGATGTGCTTTGTGAAGAAAATACTTTAATTAGATAAACTTTGTTCAGGATGAGTCATAGAGCTATTGGCTGTGAGTTCAACAATAATGGGTCACATATAAAATACAGCACCTTTCAACATAAACATGTAAAATAAGTTTATATTTTGATCATTTGACAAAAACATTGGCAGTGACCAGAGACTTGCTAGAATCTAACCCTGATATTCCCTAGAAGTAGTGGATCGGTAGATAATTCAATGTTCACAGAGATGTGATGGAACTTAATTACTGTAAATGTTGAGAAATCTGTGTGTGTGTGTCTGTCTATGAAAAGAGTATTGGCATTGCACAAAAGTGATTTCATAAAGTTGATTTGGTAGAATTTTAATATTTTGAATATTATCCCTCAAAAAATTTAATCCGAGAGAAAACTGGAGTTATCTCTTAGATTATTTAAATTTTTATTTAAAGGTACTCACTTTTGTTTCTATCTACTGTATCCATAAAATTAGATAAAAAAATTTCATTAGCCTAGAATTTTCCTGATAAAAATTGAAATCGGACAGAGGTTTTCTGTTTTTGGTTGTCACAGTTGCCTGCCAGGTAAAGGCTAGTTAACATTTCTCTTCTACTTAAACATGGTGGGCTCATTGGACCTGCAGTGTTAGAAATGTATTTCAAGTTGCAAGGTATTACTAAGGTGACCTGTTTCGTCAGTGGGGAAACAGAAAGCTGGACTTTTTCAAAGAATCTGTTGCTTAAAAGTGCCTGATTTCCTTAGCTTTACACCAGCGATAATTAAGCTTCTAACCTTCTGACTTTGGCACACAAAAGCAATCAGAACTCATAGCCAGTAGCTCTATGACTCATCCTGAACAAAGTTTATCTAATTCAAGTATTTCCTTCACAAAGCACATCACAACCTTCCTGCACTTAGGAACATCAGAGAGGTATTAGCACTGTTTGAGGGCCACTTTAAAAGCAAGATCACCAACAAAGCAAGAAAATGTGAAAAACATGGCACTGAATTAAACAGACCCTTGTTTACAGTATGACAGTGGCATGGTATGAGTACAGACTTCGCTCATTTCACAGAGAGTTGTGGCAGAGATGGAGGTGTCCTGTGGGACTCTGACTGGGTGTGAGGGCTGCTAAAAGGGGAGGGCGTGAGAGACATGGAAGAGGTGCCTTTCTGAACCCTAACGGTTGGTCAGGTAAGTGCTGTTCATCATTTTCTGTGGTGTCTCCACTCTGTCATAGGTGTTGCCTGTTCATCTCTCCAGTTAGCTCAGCTGTATTATATACATCTTTTAGGAGAAAGGCCAGTGGACCTCATTGGAAGGCTTGCTTCTGCTTGTTCTGTCACATGCAGGCATTAATATGAGTCCCCAGTCACTCGTCTGCAATTCAAAATTCAAACAGTGCTAGAACCAAAAACACGTGAGCTAGCAACAGAACTGACCTGCACCGACAGGGCCTGTCTGTAATTCATTTATTCTATTTAGTGTGACAATTCGTGTGTGCTCTATAAAAATGTGTTTGATCAAGCAAGTGCCTCTGTCTGCATCATAAGTGTTAGGTAACATAGGTGTTAGCTAGGTTAACATAGCTGTTAACCTAGCTACAGTCTGAAAAATTCTTAAGACTGAAATACATCTGGCCCAAGGGTTTTCAGTGATGCTGTAGTGCACTGCCTCCTGAAGAAAGGTTTTTTGTGAGGCTTGAAGAAAAGTGCCGGTTTCCAGTATGTAAATGCCAGCTCCTTGCTGTAGCAAGTTAACTGCAGAGATGATAGGCAGACTCCAACAGTGAGAGAAAGCTCAGCTCCTTGTTCTTCCAGCCTCCTTCTGTCTGGGCTTACAGAGCTGTCACCATGTCTCTGTTCCTCATCTCTGTGCCTTTTTGTCCTCTGTTCTGGCTTTTCTGTTTCTGTTCCTTTTCAATTGTGGGTCAGATTTGTAGGAGAGGAAAGTGTCTTTCTACTAGTTTGTCAGCTGGCTTGTATGTTGGGTGTCATTTGGGGACTTTGAACTCTAGGTTGTCTTTGTCCTTGGGACAACGGGCTGCTGCTTGGTCTTGAAGCTTTGTTTTTGCTACCAGCTTCTGGGACTGAAGCTGTTCTGACTGCCCAATAAGAGCATTTTAATTAAAAACTTTCTAAGGCCAAAGCAATCCAGCTTTGCTTCTCTCCATTTGTGTGGATCATCTGGGTTGGCAATGATCCTGCCGAGGGCTCGGGATGCCACAGACCATCCCACATGCACAGGACAGCCCCTTACCACCAGTAACTATCCATCCGAAACGTCTTTCAAGATGAGGTGAAGAAACCCTTTGTAAGATAAATTCTAGCCGAAATAAGCAGGCAAAGAGAGGCAACAAAGGGCCAGGTAATTTATTTAAATACCCCTGGGTGAGGTTCTGTGGCTTTCTTGTCACAGGCCAGAGAAGTCACACCCGGTCAGGGAGGTGGGGGGCTTATAAGGGATTAGGAGGGGGAGGAGTGGGCAAGCTATCCTAGGGGGTGTGGAGAGGTATGATTGGCTAAAGGTGACATAATAGACAACTAGAAAGTTTTTTTCCATCCAAGAGGGAGGAGGCTGACATCTGGGTCTTAGTTGGCACATCAGGATGGAATTCAGGAAGAGCTGTCCCCTTTCCATATACGGCACGGACTTTGGGGTCTGGTCTGTTCTACCCCTATGGCATCTCTCTGTTCTGTTTGCATGTCCTTGTTTTTCCTTTCTCCAGCCTAACACCCTTGTGTACAGAGTTTGTGTTTTCTGTTCTAAGAAGTACCTGACCTATTGTAATAGTACATTGAAAGGCTGTTTTTCAGGTTTATAGTTCAGATATTTTCCATGTCAAATGTATAAATTATGGATGCACAGATTATGTGAGAGGAAATGTGAAGCTTGTAATAATGAAAACATAATTTCAATCTTTTCTAATTTCAGGAGAAAATGGAAGCTTGGTTGGTGTCTATTAAAATAGCAATAGATAAGAAGGCTCAGAAGACCAATGTGTCCATCAACACTGAACATCTGATGAAGATTTTTACTCTGGGAACTGACCTTACAAAACCATTTGAATATCTTCTTGCTACTGGGAATCTGCGTTCTAAAACAGGTGAAATTAGATAGGTTTCATTTTAGTTATGTTTTTTAAATTATTTGTTTAATAAAAATTTAGGTACTGCTGAGAGAGGTTCTATTTAAAAGTGAACTTCTCCATCACTGAGGATGGATTTAATGTTGTGCATTTTGACAAATGTAGGTCAGTCTGAAGACATATCTGTATAGCTTAGCTGCAGTTCTAATGATTAAATGTATTGCCTGTGCCTTGTTCTGCAAAACTCAAGATAGGTTAGGTCTCTGAGGAAAGGTCACCACAATAGATAGTCTGCAAGGATGGTTATACATGCCCATTCCTAAACCAGCTGCATCAGAATGGCGTGGAAAACTTTAAAAAGTGGTAATTGAGGCCTCAGGAATCCTCTTTTTTCCCCCAACAGATGGATTGATGCAGATTCTTTGGGGACTATCAAGTGCTTACACTTAGCAGCCTTCTCTGATGTATCCCATTTAGTTACTTGCTGTTTTATCACTCGTTTAATGTTTTCCCACAAAGGAGGTAGAGGAAGAGGAGATAGGGGAACAACTGAGGCTGGTACAATTTGTGAAAGCTGGGGATTTTTACTAATTTTTTTACCACCAGTTTTTCAGACTCCTCCCACTCATCCAGAGTTAAGAGAGTAAATTTTATGATAATTTACTCTGTGATTTATAGTGTGCTTGGGGGGTTTGTTGTCTGAACCTCAAATAAAAATAAGTATTTTGTTTGTTTGTTTTTCTAAGTTCAGCTCATTTTTGAATGACTTTGGTTTTATTAAGGTCTTGGCTTCCTGCAAGATTCTGGACTTTGCGTTGTGGCCGATAAGCTGAACTTCATTCGCTATCTCTCCCATTTCCGCTGCGTGCACAGAGGGGCTGCTTTTGCCAAGATGAGGACCACCACAGTACGCAGGCTGCTGCCAGAGTCCTGGGGCTTCCTTTGTCCCGTGCACACCCCAGATGGGGAGCCTTGTGGTCTGATGAACCACTTGACTGCCATATGCGAGGTTGTCACGCAGCCTGTGTATACCGCATCTGTCCCAGCCTTGCTCTGCAACTTGGGTATGTGGTGTACAGTGATAAACAGTCATGGCTGGTCATATGGGTTTCTGCAGGTGCAGTCTGTCAGGCTGTGCTGCTTGGAGGCTGGGCAGGGAATTCCTGCAAGAATTCTGCTTACTCTTCAGTGCAGGAGTTGGGCTGCTTGCTATTTGGGCTCTGCTAGAGAAGGTCAGGTGCAATTTTTGAAAATGAGTGAAGGTGAAGTTAAATGTAGTTTTGTTCTTTTCTTTCAAAAAAAAGATGTCAAAACATTTGAAACAGCAGCATTTGATATGGAAGTAATATTTTGGATCACTCTTCTCGCATCTGGTGGGTTAGCCACTGCATCTCTTAAGTAGGAAGCAGTGTTGGTTTGCAGGAAGACAGTCAAAAAGGAGGATGTCCAGTCTGCTGTCATCAGGAAACATAGCCTTTGTTCCTGAGGACCTTGCAGCTGCTCTCTCTGCTTTCACTGGATGTCCTAGAATGACTGCAAAAGCACCACTCATATTGGTATTGGGGTTCCAAATAAATTACAACAAGGAGGCAAAATCATGAAATTCACAAATAATGAAGATCAAGGGGGGGTATGTATCATCTACATGGCTCAGAAATCAAAATAGAAAAGATATTCAGTGGAAAGCCCCCCTTTACCCCTGTGCCCTGACTACTCTCCCCATAGGCAGTCAGTCCCACTATTTTTTGTGCGTCCTTGCAGAAATGATTGAGAAACTTAAGCAATACAAAAAACATTCTGGTTTAGAGACATGATACCCAGATACCTAAATGTATAGCAGCTGAGCTGACCTGGAGGGAACTTTTATCCTGGAAGAATCACTCTGATGTGCATGTGCTGTTCACTTCCCCAGGGGTTATCCCAGTGGACGGAGCACCACACCGGCCATATAGCGAGTGCTACCCTGTCCTGCTGGATGGTGTCATGGTTGGCTGGGTGGAGAAGGAGCTTGCTCCCAGCATTGCAGATGCTCTCCGACATTGTAAGGTGATTGTGAGTCTTTGCGAATTCTTCTCTCCCTTGGTCTCAGGTTTTGGGTCCTTTTCTTCTTGTTGAGGTAGCCCCAGGGCAGAGTGGTCAAGGGGTCTGGAAGCCAGAAGCTTGTCCAGAAGTGCCTGCATTCCTTCTGGTGGCACAGTCTTGCCTTGTACTGTCCTCACAGATTGGATCAGTGACACATATTTGCTCTGGATGCATTTTTTTGGGTAATTTCATTGAGGCCCCAGTCTGCTAATTTAACAAATTTTAACTTTCTGTGTAAATACTAGTGGCATATAGGAATCTTTAAAAAAGGGACTTTATTTTTCAAGTAATAGTAAAGATATGCAAGATAGTAGTCATACCCTGTTGCCTTCTAGATCTTGAAAATATATTTTTAAAAAGTCAAGGTACTTGCCGTGGTTTTGCTATAGCTTGCATGTCCCAAGTTATAATCCTCTGCTATTCCTGAATAAACCCATTTTTGCTGGTAAAAAAATAAGTAAAATTTAAAAAATACAAATAGAAAGTCAAGCATGACATCCTCTGAATAACTTATATTTGGAATTCCTTCCTAACAAGAGTGATCTGTTCTCTCTTGTTCAGTTTTTTTTTTTTTAAGTTTTTAAAATTGTTTTAGTTTGATATAATTTCACACTTAAAGATGTTTAACCAGTATGGAATACTCATATGCCCATTACCCCAGATCCACCAGTTGTTATATTTGCCCCATGTGCTTTATCATTGTATGATCTTTATAAACATGTGCATATTATTTTCTTCTGAACCAGTTGAGGATAGTGTACTGACATACCTCCTTTTCCATAAAGTTTTCAGTGTATTCTAAGAACAAGAACTGTTTGTTTCCAATAACCACAGCATGCTCATCAAAGTCAGCGAAGGCCAGGTTGGTAGAACCTGTGGCTGATACTCAGAGTATACCAGTTGTCTCAGTAATGTCCCTTGTAGCATTTTTTTTCTTCCTGGTCTGGGACCCAGTCCAGAATCATGTGTCACATGTAGTCTGCCTGTTCCTCATCTCCTTTAATCTGAAACAGTTCGTCAGCCTGTCCCATCTGACTTCCTGAGTATAGGCCAGTCACTACGTCGAGTGTCCTTTCATTGATGCTTGTGTGTAGCTTTCCCATGGTGAGGTTCAGTATATCATTTCAGGCGGCACTTGGTGTGGGCCTGTCTTGTGCCTGATGCCTAGTGATGTGACTCTCATCACTTTAGGTTAATCCACTGTACATTCCTGACTTTCTCGATAATAAGGAATTGATGGAGAGAGATTTGGAAGTTACCTGAAAGCTGTTTTCCTCATCAGATTTTCACCTTCTAGTTGATGGGTTCTTACAGAATTACTACTAGTCCACTGGTGATTTTTTGCTGAGTTAATTATTATTGTGGTTGCCAAATGGTTATATCCTGATTCCATCACTTGTTCTGTTTATTAGTTGCTATTTTGTAAGGTAAAGTTTTCCTTTCTCCTCCATTTCCTTGTTTGCTTATTTGCATCAGCATAGATATATAGATGCTTGTTTTATTTTGTGAATGTTCTGTTACTACTGTTTATTCTGATGCTCAAGTTGTATCAGATTTGACTCTCTGAACTAGTCCCTTGGGGTTTTTTTGACCAAAATCAAGCCTTTATTTTTATAACTGTATAAATGTGATCCAAATGTGTCCACCACTAATTTTTCAAAAAGAAACATGCTACAAATAAGCAAACTACATCTGCTCACTGATATGGGTATGAACTTCCTAGATGTCTTGTTGGGTTTAATTATACACCTCTGGTTTTGTTTTGGTTTGTTTTTTGTAAATACACATAACTAAATTTACCGTTTAACCATTGATAAGCATACAGTTCAGTGGCATTTAGTACATTCATACTGTGCTTTGCTCACCCTATCCATCTTCCAGACTTTTTCATCATTCCAAACCAAAACTCTCTACCTGTTCAACAGTATTTCTCCCTTTCCAAATTCCTGTAACCACCATTCTTTCTGCATAAATTTGACTTAGCTGCTGTGTACCTCATTTATCATAGAATATTTGTCCTTCTGTGTCTGGCTTATTTCACTTTGTATAGAGTTTTCATGGTTCATCATGGTGTAGCAGGTGTCAGAATTTCATTTCTTTTAAAGACTGAATGATATTCCTGTGTGTGTGAGTGTGTGTGTGTGTACCATGTTTTGTTTATCCTTGTTTGTCCATTCATCTGTCAGTAGACCCTTGGGTTGTTGATACCTTTTGGCTATTGTGACTAATACTGCTGTGAACATGGATGTACAAATACCTGTTCAAGTACTTTGGGGACTATATCTAGGAGTGGAATTGCTGGATTACATGGTAATTCTGTGTTTCATTTTTCTGGCATCTTTGAGGAAAGAATTACATTTCCATTAGACATACTAGGTGTATCATTAATTCTTTAATAATGATCATTCTCTAATAACAGTGATGAATAATGAATCTTAAATTGCTAGAATAAATCCTACTTGGTCGTGGTATATTCTTGATATTTAAGAAATACTGATAAATGTTCATCTATGTTTTTAAAATTGACATTCAAAAGTTTCTGCTTTATGAAAAGAATTAGAAAGTTTTCCTTAGCTTGTAATGTTCTGGAACAGTTTGGGGAACATTGGGTTATCTGGTCTTGGGTCTGCTAAAATTCCCCTGTGAAACCATCTGGCTCTAGCGCTTTCTTTGGGGGTAGTTTCTGGATACTGTTTATTTGGAAATTGGTCTCTAAGCTTTCTGTCTCTGGAGGTCCACAACCTGCATTTTCCCATTTCATCTTGGGTTCCTAGCGGTATACAAAGTAGACACAGGATTTTAAAATTTAGTTTCCATGTTTTTTTCTCCATTGTCATTTCTTCCTGAATATATTTTGTTGGCTCCCTTCAGCCCCCGTTTTTCTTATTTAGAGTAGAGTATTTCTTAAATTTATTTAAGAATCAAGAATTTTGATTTATTTAAACATTGTTTCTATACTCTACCTCATTAATTTCAGGTTTTATCTTTGTTATAATTTCTCAACTTCTGCTTTTTTTAGCTTCTGAATTTAATTCATTTATTTTCATTCACTAATTTTTATTGATAACATGCTTAACTGTCAATTCCCATAACTTATACATAGATTCTGTTACTTCTTTAAACTTCTGTAATTCTGGTTTATATTTCTTCTTTTACTCAGGAGTTGATTAATCGAAGGTTTCATTTTTTTAATCCCCAGGTGCAAGGGCCCTTTCACTGATTACATTTTAAAGTAAAACCAGTAACCTACTGGTTTTAGACATCAGAGAACAGAATTTCACTTAGTAAGTTTATATGCACATTCTTAGCCCTTCCCCCCCCCACCCTATTAATCATTACTAGTTTGCTTGATGGGGGACTGCACCTCTGGAAAGTAGGGCTTTTGCCAACTCTTGATATGGTGTGAGTGGCATTTGTTACCAGTGTAACTAATTTCTTCATAATGCTTTTTGTTGGGAACAGGTATTGAGAGAAAAAAGAATTCCTCCCTGGATGGAGGTGGCCCTTATCCCCATGACAGGAAAACCAAGTCTGTACCCAGGATTGTTTCTTTTCACCACTCTGTGTAGATTGGTCCGGCCTGTGCAGAACTTGGAATTAGGCAAAGAAGAGCTAATTGGAACTATGGAACAAGTATGTGGAGTACGGTGGTGGGTGCATGTGCTTGTGTGGTGAGCAGCTTTCACACACTTAGGAGCTGTTGCTTTCTTAAGTGTTACCATTGTTTAATGCCAACTAGGCATTTGAAAGGTCTTTCCTGCCTGCTCTGACCAGCATGAAGCAGTTTGCATTACTTCCCTGCACTTGCACATGGAACTTAGGAGAGGGTGGTGGTCATACTACCTACCTTTCCCCTTCTGCTGCTTTGCACCTGGCTTTGGCTGGTGACATTGAAACCTTCCAGATTCACTCATAGTACTTGCCTACATCTTGGCATTTGCAAAACGGTGGACCTTGTGCTACCTAAAAATATCCTTCTTTTCCTCCCTTGCAATTGGACCAGGGTAGATGTAGAATGAATGTAAGGCAAGAGGTATTTCTAACCAGGTGCTTCCCTGTGCTTCAGGATCCCTTCAGGGTTCATGGTGCTGGGTGGGGAAGGCTTTCTTTCAAGTCTTTAAGTACCACACTCTGAGAGGTAGTGAGAGTTAATATGTTGTCTGTCAGTTATTTTGTGCCTGGAACTTCCACATCTTTCCTCTTCTCCAGCTCTTCATGAACATTGCTATCTCTGAAGATGAGGTTTTGCCTGGAGTTACTACCCACCAGGAGCTCTTCCCTCACAGCCTGCTGAGTGTGATCGCCAACTTCATTCCTTTCTCCGATCACAACCAGAGTCCGCGCAACATGTACCAGTGCCAGATGGGTAAGATGGAGTGGAGGACGGGGCTGGTCACAGAGGAGGCAGGAAAGACCTTCTTTCAAATGCCTAGTTGTTGTCATCAAACAATGGTAACACTTAAGAAAGCAACAGCTCCTAAGTGTGTGAAAGCTGCTCATCACACAAGCACATGCACCCACCACCGTACTCCACCTACCTGTTCCATAGTTCCAAGCAGCAGTTCTTTGCCTAATTCCAATTATAGAGGAATAGCATTTGCAACCTTTTTAGTAGCACTTGTAACACTTTAACAGCACGTGTAACTTTTCTGAAGTAATTTCAAACTCAAAAAAGGTGAAAGAATGTGACGAAGAACTCCCTTAAACCCTTTGCCTAGTTTTTGTTAATATTTTACTCCATATGTACAGGTTTCCAATTGAAGGTAAGTTGCAGACAGGATGCCCTTTTACCCCCAAATATTTCAATGTGTATGTCCTAACAACAAGGATGTTCACTTACATAATCAAGGATAATTACTGAAATCAAGAAATAGAACATTGATGATATTATACTAATTTACAGTCCTTATTGAAACTAATTGCCCCAAAAATATGGTTTATGGCAAATATTTTTTTCTGTGTAGCACCTAGTCCAAGATCACACATTGAATTTAGGTGTCATTTTCTTTCCAGTCTCCTTTAAGTTAGAACAGATCTCTAGCCTTTGTCATCCTTGACATTTATTTTGTAGAATGTTCCTTGATTTGAGTTTGAGAGCTTGTGATTCCATTTGTGAAGAATACAAGCCATTAGTCACCCACAGCATTTGTGCTCTTCACTCTTGCCTGATGACTCAGGTTTCCATTGAGTGTAATTTCCCTTCAGCCTGAAAAGCTTCCAAGTAAAAGTCTTTGGTTATATGCATTGTTTGCCTGCACTTTTTTTTTTTTTTCCTTCTTCCCTTAGGGTTTTCTCTACTTTTGGTTTGTAATTCTACTATGTGTGTGTTCTCTGTGTTTGTCTTGCTTGGGGTTTGCTAATCTTCATAAACCTGTAAAAATAATTTTTAAATCAGATTTTTAATGTCTGCCTTTACTTCTAAAAATTCTGAGTCCACCCCATCCTCTCCTTTCCTGAGATTTCAGTTATGCATCATGTTAAACCTTTGGATATTGTCCCATAAGCCATCAGGTTTGTTTTCTTTTTTCCATCTTTTTTTCTTTCTTTTCAGATTGGATCCTTTTTATTGATTTTTCATCACATTTACTGACTTTCCATTCTATTTCAGATGTTTCATTTTTCAGCCTACAATTTCCATTTCTTTTTTTATAGCTTTTATTTTCTCTGAGATTGTTTATCTTTATTGTAAACATATTTTCCTTTATTTTTTTTAACAATTAGAACAGGTATTTAAAAATCATTGCGAACTCCACCATCTGGGGTCATCTCAGGATCAGTCTCCATTGGGTCATGGGTCATGACTTCTTGTTCCTTTGTATGTCTAGTAATACTGGGTTGTATCATGGACACGGTGAGTAATACATTTCAAAAACTGGATTCTATTACATTTCTCTGAAGAGAATTAGCTTTTAGGTAGCTGAACACAACAGTCAGATTAGGTTATTTTAGCCCGAGGCGGACTGCTTGAGTCTGTCCCATTTGTGCATAGTCCAGGAGTCCACCAAAGATGGGGGCTCAATTTATATGTGGAATTTAAAGCTCTCCCTTTGTGGTTCTTTCCTCTCTGCAGTTTCGTCCCTTACTTTCTGGTTGCTCTTGTGCTCTGAACTTTATTCTTTTGTTCTTCAAGCCAGTAAGACTGAGTTTCTAAGTTGTAGCCACTACATTGACTGAGTCATCAAGCAGAAACAAAAACATTAAAAACTGAAAAAGCTGGAAATTCACCCAGTTGGGTTTTATCCGAATGTATATTCCTCTTTAGTTTCTGACTGCTTCTGCTTTCAGATAATGTGCATGTATACATGTGGTTTTTTCCCCTCTGGGTCTCATACTTATGTATTGAGGATGGTCTTATAGGAGTACTAGCCCTGTATTCCTGGAAGCTGACAGTCTCCTTTTCTGTATTTATAATTCTACTGTGTGTATTTAGTCTTAAAAATCATTTTGTTTTGAATTCTCTGTGCTGTAAAGTAGTACAGAGTCTTTCTTACCTACCCACTGTGCCCCACTACCAGAATTAGCAAGTACTGACATTTTGTTTGGGTGCAGGAAGGTAATCTAATTAGACCATAGTTACTGCTTCTCCTTTTTATGCTTCCATTACACTACACGTCCATAAACTAGGCATAGTATTGTTTGTGGTGTGTTACAAATGCACATACATGGTGTCATAGCAAATACCCATCTGTACTGTTCCCATTAGGTATTGCTTTCATGCTGGTCTGATCATGTTGCTCTACATAGGACTACTTCACACTGTATATTAGTCTGCAGTAAGCATAACCACCATGATTGTGATAAATACTTAGTTGTTTCCCATTTATATTTAACCCTTTATAATCAAAGGGAAAAATAAGATGCTAAAGTGTTTTTTTCTTTTTTAGGTAAGCAAACCATGGGTTTTCCACTTCTCACTTACCAAGACCGATCAGACAATAAGCTGTACCGTCTTCAGACTCCACAAAGCCCTTTGGTGAGACCATACATGTATGATTATTATGACATGGATAACTATCCCATTGGGACAAATGCCATCGTTGCTGTCATTTCTTACACTGGCTATGACATGGAAGATGCCATGGTAAGCTTTACTGGGAGGTACAGACATTTTAATTTTTACCTTTTAAAAAAAAAAAAACTAAGATCATGCAGGGAAAATTTATATGCCCCCAATGCAGTATTTGGCACGACTGTTAAATGGTTAATTCCTGGGTTCAGTTGAAAGTGGCAAGCCTTGAGGAATAGTCACTGAATATTCAGATAAGCATATATCATGTATATTAAGTACCTAGTATGTGTAGATGTTGAATGAATTTAAGGTAGTCTTGGATCTACCTTTTATATTTATGTGTGACTGACTAGGTTTTATAAGTGTCTGGGTTTTAATAGTGTAGGTGACTTGGAAAATGAATAGAGTTAAAATGGAATGGCACTTACCTAAATCAAGTATTGATTCTAACCAATTTTATTTTGAAAATCCTTATTTGGCCTCAGTCCCTTACATTAATGACTCTTTGACCTCTTAGATTGTGAACAAGGCTTCTTGGGAACGCGGCTTTGCCCATGGAAGTGTCTACAAGTCTGAGTTCATAGATCTCTTTGAGAAAATTAAACTTGGAGATGATAGTCTGGTGTTTGGAGTCAAACCTGGTGACCCACGGGTTTTGCAGAAGTTAGACGATGATGGATTGCCATTCATTGGCGCACACCTGCAGTACGGAGACCCGTATTACAGTTACCTAAACCTCAACACTGGGGAAAGCTCTGTGGTGTACTACAAGTAAGTGTGGGTGCCCAGTGCTCTTTTTTTAAGGCTGTTCTCAGTGAAATTACTGGAGGCCAGTGAAAGTTACCTTCTAACAGGAGAATTTGGGGGAAAGTGTAAGTGGTTAGCTTATTTCCCATCTATAGAATTCTTTGAGTAGTAGGTGTTCATAATAGTTTTTCAGTTTCTTGTGTTGCTAGTATTTCAGAGGAACACAGTTCTGTAGTGAACATATTCAGTAGCCCTATTCTTAAGTACTTATAGGGCCATCGACTCTGTTTGAATTGGAGAATAGAAGTAAGAATTAGTTTTTTAAATAACCCTTATGAAGCAATAATTATCAGTAAAACTTGAGTTTCTCTGTAAAAAAATACTTTGACCTTTGTTGTTTTATTTTTTCCTAGGAGTAAAGAAAACTGCATTGTGGATAACATTAAAGTGTGTAGTAATGACACTGGAAGTGGGAAATTCAAGTGTGTTTGCATCACAATGAGAGTCCCGCGAAACCCAACTGTTGGAGATAAGTTTGCTAGTCGTCACGGGCAGAAGGGCATCTTGAGCAGACTGTGGCCAGTTGAAGACATGCCATTTACTGAGAGTGGGATGGTCCCTGACATTCTGTTCAATCCTCATGGCTTTCCATCACGCATGACCATTGGTATGTTAATTGAGAGTATGGCTGGGAAGTCTGCAGCTTTGCATGGTCTCTGCCATGATGCTACTCCCTTCACCTTTTCAGAGGAGAACTCGGCCTTAGCATACTTTGGTGAGATGTTAAAGGCTGCTGGCTACAACTTCTTCGGCACTGAGAGGTTGTACAGTGGCATCAGTGGGCTAGAACTGGAAGCAGACATTTTCATAGGCGTGGTTTACTATCAACGCTTGCGTCACATGGTCTCAGACAAATTCCAGGTTAGAACAACAGGAGCCAGAGACAAAGTTACTAACCAGCCTATTGGGGGAAGAAATGTCCAGGGTGGAATCCGTTTTGGCGAAATGGAACGGGATGCTCTTCTAGCTCATGGTACATCTTTTCTCCTTCATGACCGGCTTTTCAACTGTTCTGATAGGTCGGTAGCCCATGTGTGTGTGAAGTGTGGTAGTTTGCTCTCTCCGCTATTGGAAAAGCCACCCCCTTCTTGGTCTGCCATGCGCAATAGAAAATACAACTGCACTCTCTGTAATCGCAGTGACACTATTGATACAGTTTCTGTGCCTTATGTTTTTAGGTATTTTGTAGCTGAGTTGGCAGCTATGAACATCAAAGTGAAACTGGATGTCATTTAACTTGATGGAACTTGAGTTAGGGGAATTACCAGATTAAAACAAAATGTAACTTGAGTTCAGTGACGGTAATACAAGGTTATTCTTTACTTTTGTCAAAGGTGTTAGAACTCTCAGTCAAGACCTGGCAGCTCAGAATTCTGGTTTCTAAGTCTGCTTTTTGGTAACCATTGATGTTGATTTTTGGTACATTTGTTCACCATTGCCACAAGTATTTTCTTAAAAAAACACTGATAAATAGAATGTATGGGGAAAAAAAGCCTTTCCAACCCCAGGTGCTCTGTATCTTGCTTTCATCAAGCAGTGACTGTCCCACATACATTTGTCCATCTAGAGCAGAGGGTGTAACACAAATACAGTGTAAACCATGTATGTCATTTTCTATTTTCTTATATCCACATTAAAATAAAAACAAAAGAAATATTTTAACACCTTTATTGAAGTGTAACTGTTACACAAATAACCGCACATACTTCTGTACACAGTTTAGTGGGTTTGAACATACGCACACACTATGAAAAGGTTACAACAGAGGTAATAACCTCACTTTGAATAGTTTCCTTGTGTCCCGCTGGGTTGTATGTTTGTTTTGGGTTAGTTTTGGGTTAGAACACAACTTGACATTTACCCTAACAAAAATTTTAATTGTACAGTACAGTATTCCCCTATTAACTGTAGGCACAATATTGTACAGCAGATCTCTAGAATTGACTCATCTTGTGTAAGTGGGATTTTATACCCACTGAACAGCAGCTCTCCATTTCCCTCTCCCACCAGCCCGGGTCACCACCATTATTCTCCTCTCTCGCCATGGCTACTTCAGATGCCTCAGGTGAGTGAGGTCATGTAGATTCGTCCTTCTAGACTAGGGCAGTGTCTTCCATGTTCATCCATGCTGTTGCATATGACAGAAGTTCATTCTCTTTTAAGGCTGAATAACGTTCCATTGTGTGTGTATAGCACATTTTCTCTGTTCATTTATTTCTTGATATATAGGTTGTTTCCATATCTCAGAAATAATGTTAATACTATATTAATATAGTCCAATGCCATTCAACATGTAATAAATATTAAAAATTGGTTGAGGTATTTTATGTTCTTTTTTCATACTAAATCTCTAAAATACAGTGGCTTTTTTCAGTCATTTCTGTATATATTTCATTGTATGGATATACTGTCCCTCTGGTGGATATTTGGGCTGTTCCATTCCTTGGCTGTATTATAAAGTTTAACAGTAGAACCTTGTATATGCTTGTGGAAGGATAAGGTGTCTTTTGTTAAAAACTTACCTGAAGTAATTCTTTCCTGAGTCCATCTTTAGGTAGGTGTCTATGAGTATATGTCAAATAGGGCTGGACTAAGAAAAATCTATCTATTTAAGGTATATCCTGGCTTTGTCATGAAACTGTTGGGGAAAAAAAAGGCAGAAAATATCTTGAACATACTGGCTGATACGTCTCCCTACTGTTAGAATCCCACCTAGACTTTCCCACCCCATTCCAGTCTCTGTCTACCTCACAGTCCCGTAGCTGAGTTCTGTTCAAGTTTCTGGACTATTTTTTTAACAGTGCTAAAAAATGGTAAAATTTTTTTTCTTTTTTGTGTAAATTATAGATTCACAATAGACTGACATTGGGACAATTGACATTTCAATTTCACATGCACTCATTTGTATATGTGTGTATAATTCTCTTCAGTTTTATCACATGTAGGTTGATCTAAGCACCAACATAGTCAAGACGCAGAACTGTTCCATCCCCAGACTCTGCCATGCTATCCCTTTATAGCTTTCCCCATCCCCATCTGTAACCTCTGGCAACCACTAATCTGTTCCCTGTCGCTGTCATTTTATTTCAAGAATAGTATGTAAATGGAGTCTCTTACGACCTTTTGAGATTGGCCTTTTCTACTCATCTTAATTCCCTTGAGCTCCATCCAGGTTATTGCATGTATCAATAATTTACTCCTTTTTTTTGCTACATAATACATGGTATGACTGTGACACAGTCCAACCATTCACCTGTTGAAGGACATTTCTCTTGCTTCCAGGTTTTGGTGTTTACAAATAAAGCTGCTCTAAATAATCACGTAGTTATTGTGTGCACATAGTTTTCATTTCTCTGGGACAGATGTCCAAGTAAATTTGCTGGGTTGAATGGTGATTAGCATATTTGTAAGTTTTTGTGGAAGTTGCCGGTTTTCCGAAGTGGCCGTACCATTTTACATTCCCACCAGGATTGTGAGTGATCCATTTCCTCCACATCCTGACCAGCATTTAATGGTGTTACTGCTTTTGATTTTACTGTACTTTATTTTATTTTAGCTGTTCTGATGGGTGTGTAGTGATATCTCACTGTGGTTTTTAACTTGCACTACTCGACTGCCTAATGATATTGAACATCATCTCATGTTTATTTGCCTTCTGTATGTCCTCAGTGAAATGTCTGTTCATGTCTTTTGCTCATTTTCTCACTGGATTATCTTCTTACTGTAGAATTTTTGAGACTTCATTTTATATTCTAGATATAAGAACTCTGTCACCTAAGTGTTCTGCAAATATTTTCTCCTAGTTTATAGCTTGTCTTTTCATCTTATTTACAGGTCTTTTGCAGAGCAAAATAATTTTGATGAAGCCCAGTTTATTGTTTTTTCAGGTTCTAATGGATCATGCTTTAGGGTGTCACGTCTAAGAACTCTTAACCAAGTCCAAAGTTTTTCTTATATGTTCTCTTCTAAAGACTTCATAATTTTATGACTTACATTTAAATTTATGATCATTTATCTATTATAATTTTTGTACAACATGTGGTGTTTAACTCAAGATCCGCTTTTTTGCCTATGTATATCCATTTGTTTAGGCATGATTATTTGAAGACTCTCCTTCCACTATTGAATTCCTTTTGCATCTTTCTCAAAAATGAGTTGGCTGTGCTTGCATGGAACCAGCTTAGTTATTTCATTTTATCTCCTTTGTTGGCTTATTGACCCTACCTCTACATTTTCATTTTTAGTTGTTTCCTTTTGTTTCTAGTGTACATCTTTGGACTTATCACACTTTACTTTCATGTACTATTATACCACTTCACACATAGTGTAAGAGCTTTGCAACAGTATACTGTCTCCTCCTTGGCCTTTGTGCTATTTTTGTCATACATTTTCCTTATACATACATGGTGAACCCCACAACATATTACTACTTTTGCTTTAAGCAGTTACCTTTCAAAGAGATTTATAAAACGGGTTATTTAATTTTTAGCATATTTATATCTGGTGATCTTACTTTGTATCCTGGATTTCTACTTTGCATCATTCCCCTTAACCCAGAGGCCTTGCCTCCGTGTTTCTCATAGTGTCCTTAAGCTTTCTTAGGCAAGACGAGAGCAGCCAGCAGGGCTAAGTGTGTCTCACTGCAGCAGCACAGCACCTCTCATTCCTTTACTCCATGTCCAGTGAGGTTTTCCACTCCTGCTGATGGGAACTCGGATAGCTGGGAGCTCTGGGGCCGGTTCTGCCTGCACCTTCCTGGTGGTTCTCTCGTGGCCTCCAGTAGTTTGAGGCATGCTATAGAATACTATATTCTGGACTATACATACAAGAGCTGGACTTTAGTGGACCCTCTGCAAATCTCTGCACTTATCCCATGTAACTTTATAAAATACCCAGTACCTGCCTTAGAATTCTAGCTGCCTTGGCCTCCCCATGTTTTTATATGCCATGCAAACCAAGAATGGTTTTCATATTTTTTTATTGTTAAAAAAAATCAATTCATGACACACAGTGATAAGAAAATCAAATTTCTGTGTCATAAAGTTTTACTGGAATACAGCTTTGCTATGCATATATGTATTTGTCTACAGCTGCTTGTGGCCACAGCGGCACAGAGTATTTATGACAGAATGGGCCCATAAAGCCTAAAATGGTTAATATCTGATTATTATCCAAATGTGTGTGTCTCAGATTCACATGTTGAAATTCTAACCTCCAAAGATGAGGGTCTTAGGAGGGGGAGCCCTTCGGAGGTGCTTAGGTCACGGGTTAAGCCTTCATGAGTGGGATTAGTATTCTGTAAGAGACCTCATGGAGATCACTTGCCCCTTCTATGTGGAGACACAGCAAGGAGGCGCTGGCTATGAAACAGGAGGGACCTCACCAGAACCTGACCATGTCAGTGCCTTGATCTTGCACTTCTAACCTCCAGAACTGTGTAAGAAATAGATTTTTCTGACTTATAAGCTACTCATCTGTGATATTTTATTGCAGCAGCTTGAACAGATTGACACTGACCCTTTACAGAAAAGGTTTGCCAACCCTGGGCTAAAGGTATACAGATTGGACAATATGTATCTCTGATACATTGTATTGCCTTAACATAAACTAGCATATGCAGAAAATGGATAAAGGTACAGATATTTATATGAATGGAATTTTGGTAGGAAATGTCTCCAATGAAAGGATGGAGCTTTACATAAACTGAATATTATATATATAGATGAATAGAGTATTGCATAACAAATTATTAATATTTTAAATGAAAGTACAAAATTTGATGATAGTTAATTTTCTATAAATGGTAAACAAATTATAACTGCAAGAAGGGTTCTATGTCATTTCTGAGCAATTAAAATGAGTTTTCTAATGAAAAGCTGTACACAAGGTTGAAAACATTATTTTCAATTAGAGTGTTAATATAACAAAATGAATGTATCTAGTTGAGAGGATAGCTCTATAGACCTTTTTATAGACAAGATTTTGGTATGGTATTTACATCCATGGGTGGAACATGTAAAAGAAGTCAGTGTCTATCTCCTGAAAGACCAGTGGTGTACACAAGATGGAATTACTTCTATATATCTCTGAGTGGAAGGTTGCAAAACAAATGATTATATCTATTGAAAAGATAGTTCTGTAGTCAAGATTAAGTGCTGTTTATAAATTGAGTGTCTGCATAATCACCTTCTGCAATGACAAAGTTGGATACAAGATTGAAGATACTTAGCTCTATGAATGCAGTGTTGATATAACAATTATTTGCAAATCAAGGTTGGAACTACAAACAAGGTTGGAGGGTGTCACTCTTTCAACAGTATCAATATGACAAGGAATATTTCCACTAAAAAAAGGTCTGTATACAAGATGGAATAAGTCATCTCTATGAATGAGGTGTTGGTATGATCCCAATTCATGTCTGCAATAAAAAAGGACTGAAATGTTGTTACTTACTGAAATATAAATGGAGTTTGTTTTAACATGAATAGGTATATATACTGAAAGGAATGACCTGTGTATGGTCAATACAAGATTAAATTTTGTTGGTTATGTCTATGAATATAGTGTTGGTAGAACACAGCTTACTGTCTCCAGTGAAAGTGGTGACCCAGACATACACAAATGATTGATCACTTATCTCTAAGATTGTAGTTTAAAGGTAAACACACATGGCATTTGCAGAGACAACATTTAATTTGTATATATGTACACACATTATGTGTGTGCATGTTGACTGAATTAAATTTTACCACTTCAGATGTCCTGTTGGTGTAACACAAAAGATCTACCAAAGAGATACAGCTGAAACAACACTGATCAGCATCTTCGCATTTCTTATGTAGTGGCTGTCATCCAAAAAACAGGAAGCAGAAGCTGCAAGGCCAGGTAAAGCTTTCACCTGAAATTGGCACAGGGTCGCTTCTGTTGTAACCTGTTGGTCGAAGCAGTCACAAGGTCTGTCCAGATGGAAGGACATGGAGAAATGGACTCCACCTTACAAATGAAGTCTGGGAGATACCGGCAGTTACGGAAAACAGTATTATGCTACATATGGAAAAAGGCATAGATAAGATTGAATAGCAGCCACATCCACGAATGGAATGTGGGGAACAACATGCACGAAGGACTGCAGTGTACACAGACGAGTGACTGGTTGTGATTCCCATCACGGAGTGTTGTGGAAACACAAACCGAAGCAGTTGCTAAAGTGATGGGCCCGTGGACTGGGTGGGAGAGTCACGGCCCTCAGTTGCTCTGGCAGTCAGAACACTTTTCTCCTGTTAGGTAAAGGACTCCGTTTTCAGTGAGAAGCCACTGCTGTGTGCTATTTGTGACTCCTTCCCATTTGTCTTATGTAAGAGGCCACCTCACATGCAGAGCACTGGCCCCACCTGTTCCTGGAAGATGGACACGTGTCCTTCAACTTTCCCTGCTCACACCCACAGTTGTCTTGGGCTGTTAACACGTTTTCAGGTTATAGTGTTGCTTTAACAATCCTGTCCATCAACTCTGCCCACCCCACTGTGGCCCTTTAACTGTTTTTACTTAATGGACATTCCATACACTGAAGTGGCTGTAAGTGGTCCTGCAAGACATATTATGAAGTAAGTGTTCAGGTACGTGTAGTGCTCTGGATGGTGGGGGACATTCCCAGAGAAATGCTACAGTGAGTACAGCGGAGGTGGGATGGGCACACATGAGGGGCCCACCTGGCGCCCCCAGCCCATCCACACAGTGTGCATGTGGGTGCAGGATGGGTGGGGAGGAGACTCCTGCACAGATGAAAGAGCCCGCAGAGGCAGGCTGTGTTCACTGCCCTCCTGGCATATCGGTCAGTCCTAATAAGCCTTTTAATTCCAAGTGTTGATTGCAACAAGAGGGTGCTGGCAAAAGTGCCCTCTGGGGCCGTGGACTTGAGGAGAGTGTGCAGACACAGAGACGGTATGTGAACGGAGACGACGCTGGAGTGGTGTGTTCCCTAGTCCAGGACTGCTGGCAACCGGGCATGGGACAAATTGCCCTGCCAGCACCCTGACTACTCCCAGCCTCCCAACCTGAGAGGGAATCCTCTTGCTTCAAACCTCTGTCTGTGGGCTCCGTGAGATGGTGTGGGCCCCAAAGCTGGACCACCGCTGCTGGGGAAGAATGCTAACAGACGGCAGGGGCATGGACCTGCGGCCTGCTGTGGGCGGACTGGTGCTCCTCACCTGCAACTCTGGGGGTGGGAAATATGTTCCCAGTCGGGGGCAAATGACTTTTGAGGTCAAAATCGGTCAAAAGGAAAAATAAAGTGGGAGAAATCCATTCATTGCTTACAAGCAGTT